AAAATGATTTAGTTGAGTGGCTTTAGAGTAAGTACAAACTTTATTAATATAGCACTTTTCACAGATAAAATCACAAAGTGCTTCACATCAACAGGTTGAGCGGGTTGTCCAGTAATCGGAAGGTTGCCGGTTCAATCCCGGCTCCGGGATTGCTGTTGTGTCCTTGGGCAAGACACTTAACCCACCTTGCCTGCTGGTGGTGGTCAGAGGGACCGGTGGCGCCTGTGCTCGTCAGCCTCGCCTCTGTCAGTGCGCCCCAGGGCAGCTGTGGCTACATCGTAGCTCATCCCCACCAGTGTGTGAATGTGTGTGTGAATGGATGAATGATACACTGTAGTGTAAAGCGCTTTGGAGTCCTTACTCTGAGCAGCGCTATACAAGTGCGGGTCATTTATCATTTAACATACATAAGAAGGCAAAACAGGACAGGAGCACAATGTCAACTTACATAAAAGCTTGTCAAATAAAAGTGTCTTCAGCTGCTTTTTGAAAGAATCAACAGAGTTGGCCACACGAAGAAACAAGGGCAAGGCAGGCGTTCCAAAGTCTGGGAGCTACAGCTTGAAAGGACAGGTCCCCTCTAGTTTTAAATCTGGTCCTAGGGACCTTCAGTAGGTTTTGACCCAAGGACCGTAGAGTGCGGCCAGAAGAGTGAGGGTTAAAAGGTCTGATAAATATTGTGGAGCTCGTCCATTAAGAGCTCTAGAAGTCAAAACTAAAATCTTAAAATCAATTCTAAACTTGACCGGTAGCCAATGTCAAGAAGATAAAAACCGGTGTTATGTGAGCCCTTCTATTGGTTCCTGTTAAAAGCCTTGCTGCAGCGTTCTGGACCAAGACGACTGACATCTGATTTCTTAAAACAAGTAAAGATAGAATAATTGCAATAATCTAAACAAGAGGAAATAAAAGCATGGACAATCAGCTTTGAGAGTGTTCTGTGGAATTTAGACCTTTATTTTGTAATTATTCAGGCATTGTAAAGGCTCCAAAATGCAGAGTGAACCAGTACCTTTGATTGACAACTTGTCAAAAACGCTTTAAGAATAGATCCTAACCTGTCCACAAATACTACAGTTTGTTTCCACCACGTCTTTTATTGAATCTGTTTACTCATTTATTCAGTACATTTGCATTGTTTTCTAGTGTTAAGCAATGCCTTATGAGTCATAAAAAGTTATAATGCTCCAGTTCTGGGATGCAGAAGTTTGCTGTTGCAGAGGTGGGCTGAAAACAGCAGGATTACTCATTATTGTAAATGATATGCACACCTCCTCGATAGCAGAATGCGTGCAGTCACTAGCATAAAGAGATGCTCTCCGCTCTCTCTGAGAAAAAAAAGCCTCCCTGTGGGCGGGCTGAGCCAAGATGGTCGAAGCCATGAATGCAAATTCACAGTGTGACATAGATCTGTGAGGATTTTCAAATCCTAGCATTTCAGTCTTTTTTTTTATCAGAAGCTAACACAGGACACTGTTTTCATGTTCAGCCTGCATGAAAAACTCAGAGTGGCCGATTATAATCAGAATTATCATTAAAAATTGTTTATTTTTTTTTAGTGTTTTACTTCTTTAATCTTCCATCTTTACTTTCCTCACTTTCAAAGCACACGCAGGGGTGGACCGTTAAAGCGCCCCGAGCGCCAATGGCGCTAAATTTTCTCGTCGGGCGGTAAATACTTGACGACTTACCGCCCGGGTGGCGCCCAAGCCTTATTTGTCATGCGTGACTGCACGCATTCGGCTATCGAGGAGGTGTGCATATCATTTACAATAATGTACACACTGGCTTTCGCCTACATCATGCCCCGCCCTGTAGGAAGCCGCCGTTTTCGTTTCGCGCGCGTGAACCTGCGCGCCTCTAGCCACGTTCTGCACTTGTACGATTCGTGCACGTACTGCACATTCTAGTTATAGTCACGTGAACTATAAGTTCACTATTAAAGACGAAGTGGAACCACGCTAGAAACACACAAGCACGCAGGAAGATCGCGCCACCACAGGGATGGGATTTCTTGATGAAATCTCCGGCAAAACGCTTTAAAACTGGTGAGGAGAAGCGAGACAGTTCGAAACGGTATGAAGCAGAGAAGCGTGTGCGTAGGTGGAATGATTCTTGCGGTTTAAAGAAGAAGGGAGGCGCAGAGAATGGCCGTGTTCGAGTTGAGCAGCGCATCGCCTGGAAAACAGGCGAGAGAAGACGGAAGCAGCGGGGGGAGTGGCTGAAAGCCGGCGTTTCGCCGGGGACACACCGGCCGCGGAAGCGCCCGAAGCGCCGAGAAGCGAATTGCTCACGAAATTCGGCCGCTGCTCGCCGCTCCTCAGTTCAGATCAGACGCGCCCCATTTGAGGCGCGCCTGGGCTCAGCTGTAGTTTTTCTTTTAACTACTTGTCCTCCATTTCCTCTCTCTTTCTCAGCTCTTTTCCTCTACGTGTGTGTGTGTGTGTGTGTGTGTGTGTGTGTGTGTGTGTGTGTGTGTGTGTGTGTGTGTGTGTGTGTGTGTGTGTGTGTGTGTGTGTGTGTGTGTGTGTGAGTGTGTGTGTGTGTGTTGTGAGTGTGTGTGTGTGTGTGTGTGAGTGTGTGTGAGTGTGTGTGTTGAGAGAGAGAGAGAGAGAGAGAGAGAGAGAGAGAGAGAGAGAGAGAGAGAGAGAGAGAGAGAGGAGAGAGAGAGAGAGAGAGAGAGAGAGAGAGAGAGAGAGAGAGAGAGAGAGAGAGAGAGAGAGAGAGAGAGAGAGAGAGAGAGAGAGAGAGAGAGAGAGAGAGAAGAGAGAGAGAGAGAGAGAGAGAGAGAGGAGAGAGAGAGAGAGAGAGAGAGAGAGAGAGAGAGAGAGAGAGAGAGAGAGAGAGAGAGAGAGAGAGAGAGAGAGAGAGAGAGAGAGAGAGAGAGAGAGAGAGAGAGAGTGAGATGAGAGAGAGAGAGAAGAGAGAGAGAGAGAGAGAGAGAGAGAGAGAGAGAGAGAGAGAGAGAGAGAGAGAGAGAGAGAGAGAGAAGAGAGAGAGAGAGAGAGAGAGAGAGAGAGAGAGGAGAGAGAGAGAGAGAGAGAGAGAGAGAGAGAGAGAGAGAGAGAGAGAGAGAGAGAGAGAGAGAGAGAGAGAGAGAGTGACTGACTGACTGACTGACTGACTGACTGACTGACTGACTGACTGACTGACTGACTGACTGACTGACTGACTGACTGACTGACTGACTGACTGACTGACTGACTGACTGACTGACTGACTGACTATGCTGTGAACCAGTTGTTTCTGCCAGTTGAATCTCTTGGATTTTCCTGCATGTGTAGCTCGGGGGTGACGATGGCTGAAGATATCGCGTCAGCGTTCACATTTGTTTAATTTTCAATTTTAATTCTGGTGCCTGTTAGCAGCTGAAACATCCTCACGTGCTTGTGGATATCATATATTGTATATGAAGACCTGACTGTAATAATTAAAGGTTATCAGCTGTAGGTTTAGTGTGCTCATAGGAAACGTGACAAAAGAAAACAAAACACATTTCTCTTTATGGCCTATATGTGATTTATAGATACATGTGAACAACTAACATTTCATGTTCTACCACCGAATGTTTGGATCAAAATATGAACCAATCAGATCTTAGATCAGGTGAGAGCCAGGCGTTTCCCATCATCATCTAGGTTTTGCAGCCGAGGGAGAGCAACTGCAGCGCCTTGCTCCAAAATCTGCGGCCGCCTTGATCTCACAAGTTTATCGTTGTCTACGTATGCATGACGTCAGAGCAAGTCGGCATCAATTCGGACACGAATCTAACCGGCATGCACTGCTCGCCGATCACCGCTGGTCTAGTCTGCGCAGAACTGGCTCATCTCGAACACAGCCGATGGCTCGAATACAGCAAAGCGGAGTTGGTGATGTACTGCGTTGTATGCCGGAAGTATGCGACGACAAAATCGTGTTTTGTTGAGGGAACAAACAAATTCAAACTTGAATACGTTATTAGGTTGGTGAATGTGTACAAAATAAAGGTTTATTACATTTAAAACGGTTCTGTTATTATTTTGACTCGTTTTGGCAGCTGACCAGTGGGGCCGGTAGATTCTTGGCGGGGCCGGTAAATATTCAGAGTTACCGGCCCGGCTGGCCGGTTGGTTTTGAAGTTAATGTCCACCCCTGACACGGTACAGTCATGTTCAAGGACTGGATGTCACAAAAGCCACTGAGATTCAGATAAAAACTGTAAAAGATGTGAAAAATCCCAGAGAAGTGCTGATTTAGATTTTGTTTAAAAGATTGCATGTGCTGAAAATCTCAGCTTTGATAAAAGCCGCTGTTATTTAAAATTTCTTTCATTGTTCTTTTAAGTCCAGTAACTGTTAAAAGTGATAGGTTTAAGTGCTGTAACTTTACTGTGATTGGTTGTTTTTACTGGTCAGTAGTGTACGGTTGTACTGTTTCTGTTACAGATCCACCTGACCTCAGCTCTGATGGGCCGTCACACCAGCACAGACCTAGAAGAGGCCGACCCAGACACAACGGCGATCGAAACCTGAGCAGTAATAGCCATGATCCGTCTTATCAATATGGGCATTTTCAGCAGTGCGTTAAACCACCGATTGGTTCTAATCATTTTAATTATTCAGAGTATAACCATCCTCCGTATCAAGGAGAGGATGTTGCTAGGAAGAGAGGCAGAGGAAGAGGAAGGAGAGAAGGAAACAGAGGGTTAAACAGGAATTTGGCAGGTTCAGGCCCTCGGGGGCAAAAACACATTGGTGACTTTGGCCAGTATGATGCAAGTCATAGATACACAGGTGGCTACCAGTCAGATCCCATGGATGGGCCTGATGCTCCCAACTGGAGAAGAGGTGGTGCAAATAGAGATTTTGAGCAAACTAACAAGGAGCGGGATGCTCCAGCTCAAAATTCCAGTAAAAGGGAGCTTAAGAGGGGCGAACGGATGGAGGAAAGGGATCATACAAGGGAGAACAACACAACCGTACCAGGCTACAGGTTTCAAAGTATCCGAGGAGAAAACTATTTTTCTGAGACCAACAGGAGAACTCCACAGAGCAAATCAGGCACTCAGACTCAACATTACGACCATCAGAAGAAACACGACGACCCAAAGAGACGGCACGGACCAATCAAACCCCCTAAAGCACCGTCTCCAGAAGAGGTGAGTTCAGAGAGCGGTGCTGGTGGTCAGCATGACCCAGACTTCAGCAGATCTTCTCAGGATCCCGTCTGTAAGCCTGGAAGAGGCTCGGGACCTCAAAGACCTTATCAGAGCCACGGAGGGAGGAGAACTAACCGTCAGAACAAGTCGGGTCAGAGCAGCTCAGAGAAGATGCCCAAGAGCAAAGAAACGCAGACAGGTTAGAGGTCATCTTCACTAATGGAGAAAGCAAAGAATAAATCACGTTTTCATCTCTTATTTTCTATTCTTTTAGATTTTTCAAAAATCCAATAAATCAGGAAGTTTTACTTTGTTCTAATGTGTAAAATACAAACCTTTCATTTCATTTATTCTGTCAAAAACCTAAACCTGTATCAAAGCATGCATTTCAGTCCAAGATAGCTTAGTTTCTTTAATCTGTTTCAGAACGAGTTGTTTGTTTTACAGCGATCTGTTCTCAACCTCTGGCCTCTCCTCCGCAGGATGTCTGATTGAACAGCTGTCGGAGGAGAAGTACGAGTGCATGGTGTGCTGCGACGTGATTCGGGTTATGGCCCCGGTGTGGAGCTGCCACAGCTGCTTCCACGTCTTCCATCTGAACTGCATCAAGAAATGGGCTCGATCTCCAGCCTCTCAGGCAGACGGTACGGCTGTTGGACCCTGCGTGGACGTTTTATTTTCTACTTGTTGGTCAGACTTATGATTAATCTACATTCGAAGTTAAAATGAATCCGTTTTTCAGACTCGGCTGAAGGTTGGCGTTGTCCCGCCTGTCAGAACGTTACTCTGAAACACCCGACCACCTACACCTGCTTCTGTGGTGAGTGTTTGATTTCTTCACCCACAAGCACATCTCACATTTCCCTTCAACACATCATCTTGTAGTTGGGTCACGGGCCTAAATTGTCACATCTTCCTTTGTCCTTCTTTTCATCCAATTCTGGACTGGCAGGTAAAGTGACGAACCCTGAGTGGCAGCGCAGTGAGATTCCCCACAGCTGTGGTGACATGTGTGGGAAGAAGAGGAGCGGTGTGGACTGCAACCACCCCTGTAACATGTGAGCTGTGAAAAAAAACAAGATTTGTGAGCTGATACGATTCATCTCGCAGAACTGTAGTTGAAAAGGACATCTTTAGCATTTTTTTGTGCAGCCATGTGGGTCTCCACTGCCTCTATAAACCCTTCATTTATTAAAAAAATGCCCATCCGTTTTCTGGCAGCGTTGGGTTTAGGAATTATGGGACTAAAACAAGCCGTTTAGAAAAATCCTTGTTTGTGACATCACAAATGGGTGTTTTTATTTATTTGTTTTTTTAAGAATAGAATCACCTTTCATACATAAGAGCTGCTGCTGGAGGAGCAGCAGCAGCTCTACTCTGAGCTCCTCCCAGATATTGGAGCTTCTCAGCTTATAGCAGCCTGAGCAGGGGAGGGGTGGGCGTGGCCAGCTCCAGTTTGTTCTCTTAAAGTGACAATACCCTGAAACAACTCATTCTGGAAGGTACTGAAAAAGAGTTTCAGATCTGCAGGTGCACACCTGGGTGGTGAAATGGATACGTGTCTCATTTGGATAGTTTTTTTTTGTTGTTGTTGTTTGGCTCAATGTTTAGTTAGGAAACATTCTAATGTGAGACCAGAATAATCATTAGATTTCTGATTTCATGGAGACTTTTCTGTCTCTCTAGTTTGTGTCATCCTGGTCCTTGTCCTCAGTGTCCCGCATTCATCACCAAGTCCTGCGTCTGTGGGAAGACAAGGTAATCTTCCGTCCTGTTTTTATCTTTAACAATGGTCTTGTTTATTTGACACATTTAGTAACGATTGGATCATTATTTTCAGTCAGCCGATGCGCTGCGGCCAGGCTTCGGCGCTCCAGTGTGACAAAGTGTGTGGAGCTTTACTCAACTGTGGTGAACACACCTGTGTGCAGGTGTGCCACAGCGGGACGTGTCAGCCCTGTCAGCTGAAGGTCCAGCAGGGTTTGTCTCACTGGCTCAAAGATGTTGTTTCATGAAAGTAAACCATTTAGATTTCTGATCTGTTGATTTTCCGTGTGTGTAGTTTGTTACTGTGGCGTTACTCTTCGCACCGCCGCCTGCGGCACAGATAAGGAAGGATTTGGCGGTTCTGGACATTTCTCCTGTCAAAAGTTTTGCTCCAAGTGAGTGACGACGCAACAGAACAGACTTTTGTTGAAACGGGACGATTCCTTTCATACTTTCCTTTCGTCTGTTCAGGATGCTGAGCTGTGAAGCTCACCGGTGCCAGCAGGTGTGTCACCGTGGGCCGTGCCAGCCATGTCCACGCTCACCCAGCCTGGTGAAGACGTGTCCCTGTGGTCAGACCCCGCTGTCCAAACTCCTGGATCTGGGCTACTCTGAGCGGAACAGCTGTTCCGACCCCATCCCCTCTTGTGGGAAGATGTGTAACAAGCCCTTACCCTGTGGCTCCAATGGTGAGGAGAACTGTCATCTGAAGCTTTTCAGCAGGATCTAATAAGGAAAGCCAAAGTTTGTCCATGCTGGACACTTTCTTAGTGCACAAAACACTTGAAATCATAAAGAAATGCTGATTAATCCACCGTTTTGATCCCTTTATTTTAATCAAATGGCTTTCCCTCATCTAGTTTTGGAGCTGTTCTCTCTGCAGGAATGCACCGATTCTTTGTGATATCTACATTGGTGGTTGTGTTTAAACAGACATCTGTTATCCTGACCCTGTCACTTCATCTATTCTACATTTTTAGTCAACAAGGACTAAAAAACATGGGATCTATTTTTAAAACTGTCTTCCGGGTGGTCCATTGTGTTTGAGTAAACAGGAAGTGCGTTATCTGGAACCCACTGTGTTTTTAAAGCTTATCCACTGATAATTATCTCCTGCTTCTTCAGAAACCATCCATTTGTGTCAGAACCTGTGCCACGAGGGCGCCTGTGGGCCGTGCTCTCTGACCTCAACGATCAGGTGTCGCTGTGGCTCCAAAACAAAGGTGTGCAATAATATAAGCAAAAAAATGCTTATTTCTTTTTTACTAAAAATTTCTGAAATGATTTGATTTTCAGGAGGCTCCATGTGAGAAGATCCAGAAAGAAGGTTAAGTTCTGACGAGTTTTAAATTAAACTCATCAGAATGGACCGAATTTCTGTTTGACCTGTGATGTTTCCTTGTAGAAGAGCTCGTGTTCACGTGTGAGCGACGCTGCAACAAGAAGCGCTCCTGTGGTCGACACAAGTGCGGTGAACTTTGTTGTGTGGTGAGCAATCACTAAGTCACAGATGATTTTCCTTCTTCCAGTAAGAAATGCTTTTAACTGCAGTTTTAACATCATGAGGTTCTCGTTTCAACCTGAAAATGGGTCAAAAAAAGGTTTAAAGTTAGTGAATTTGTTTGGCATCATCTAACGGCGATGTTACCTTTTGGGGATTCTACGTTAATCCAGAGCGTGGAGCACAAGTGTTCCCTAATCTGTGGCTACAAGCTGAACTGTGGCCTGCACCGTTGCCAGGAGCCGTGTCACCGTGGAAACTGTGAACCCTGCTGGCAGTCCAGTGAGTAAGAGATGCCTCTGGTTTTATGTTTTTACAGCCTCTTTAGTTTGTGTTCTTGCCTTTGGCACTGATGCTGTCACGGCTCCCCCTGCTGGCAGGTTTTGATGAGCTGACGTGTCACTGTGGTCTCATGGTGCTGTACCCACCCGTCGCCTGTGGCACTAAGCCGCCTGAGTGTAAAAACTTGTGCACAAGACGGCACGAATGTGACCATCCAGGTAGGAAGGAAGGGATGCTAACTGTTCAGACTGCAGCTTCTCACAAGCATCTTACTTTTTGTTTCTGCCTTCTTCTTCTGATTTAGTGTTTCACAACTGCCACAGCGAGGAGAAATGTCCCCCGTGCACTTACCTCACCCAGAAATGGTGCATGGGAAAGCATGAGGTAATGCCTTCAAAAACCTCTTGTTCCAGGGTTTCTTCATGAATAATGAGCGTGGTTTACTTCTTTGACCTGCAGCAACGCAGCAACATTCCATGCCATCTGCAAGACATTTCCTGTGGCCTGACGTGTAACAAGCAGCTGCCCTGTGAAATGCACCACTGCAAACGCCTCTGCCACCGGGGGGAGTGCCTACCCCAGGGAGGCTGCCAGCAGCCCTGCATGCTGCCTCGTCCAGACTGCAGCCACCCGTGTTTAGCTCCCTGTCATAAAGGCAGCGCCTGCCCATGCTCCACCTGCACGGCAAAGGTACACACACACAGCTGCACTCCAAACAAAAGGTTTTGCAGAAATCCTAGCATGTTTTTCCACCCCATTGTATCTCCTCTTCATATCCAGCATGAGTAATGTTCTCAGTCCATCGCCTCCTAGCTGTGTGTTCCTTAGAGCTGCACAGAGGCTGCCATATATCCCTCCATGACTTTAATAAATGTTTAACTTGGATCAAGTAAGCCTGGCAACTCTCCAAACTCAAGACTTTCACAATAAAACGTCTGAATGGTGTTTTTCTATGCAGGTTGCTCTGCAGTGTGACTGCGGTCGGAGAAAGGAAACGGTTGGCTGCATAGAAGCTGCTAGTTCCTATCAGAGGTCAGATTTTCCTAACTGTGAGTTTAAAGTTTTGATTGTTTTTAAAGATTCTCCTTCTGCCATCCAGGTATGCCGCCATCACCATGGCCAGTAAGCTGTCAGACATGCAGCTGGGTGACTCCATGGACATCGGGCCGCTCCTCACCAAGAAAGAGCTGAAACAGACTAGGTGGAGCTCAAACCCAAAACACTTTTATTATTGGAACATTGGTTTTCTGTGTGGAACCTTATTTGTTTAACTGAGCTGAGTTTGGTTAATGTTCGTCATATTTTAATGCTCAGCCAAAAATTTGTATATTTTCAGGCTTGAATGTGATCAAGAGTGCGCCACCCTGGAGAGGAACCGGCGTTTGGCCGAGGCGTTGCAGATCGACTCGTCATCTGACCCATTCAACGTTCGCTCCACCTCTCTGTACAGCGACAGCCTCAAAGAAGACGCCAGGTCTGGCTTTGGTTCTTCTTTTTAACATCGTGGTCTGTTTCTGCAAACCAATCTAACTTCGCTCTGCTTGTTGTTTAGAAAAGACTTGAAGTTTGTCTCAGAAGTGGAAGAAGAGATCAGGAGTCTGGTGGAACTCGCCAATAAGGTGATTTTATTTTTTTATAAATCCTCTTTTTTTTAATATTTAACTTGATGCACATAAATCCTGCAATCCTGTGTTGACCTTTTGACTTCGTTCTGAAACCTTCCTGTGAGAATTTGTGTTTCTTATGACACAGAACTTGAGCGCTGTAGGCGCAGATGAAGCATTCTTCTCTGTAGTTCATCCCAGATGTTTTGGATCAGATTGTCAAGAGCACATAAAAAATACCATTTCTGATGACTACAGGGCAAGCAGCCTAAGAGGAGCCACTGCTTCCCGCCGATGAACAGAGAACACCGGAAGATCATCCACGAGCTGGCTGAGGTCTACGCCGTGGAGAGCGTGAGCTACGACAGCGAGCCCAAACGCAACGTGGTCATCACAGCCCACAAGTACGAGTGTTTTCCAGAGATAAGGGCGGCAGTAGGGTGCTGATTATGGCTTTGAGGATGTGCCTGTGTGTCTTGTTGCCAGAGGGAAGTCGTCCTGTCCAAACTCAACCCTGACATCGGTGATAGAGCGGGAGACGACCACCAGGGCGCCTCCTCCCATCGCTCACTTCAAACAGAGCAGCAGCAAGTGAGTCTGTCTCTAAGATGAAACCCACAGGGTAATAATCTCGTTAATCTGATCCGATTCTTCTTTCAGGAGCACGAGTGGAGGCACCTGGTCGAAGATGGTTCAAGACGAGCCTGTGGTCGATTACTTTGATGTTCAGGACTGAAGGAGAATAAAGCTGAAGTGGAAAACCCCTTCAAGATCTGCCCGGAAACTCACGTTTGCATCTTCACTAAAGAGTCTGAGCCGTTTCAGATCTAATGAATACTAATGAAGAAAGAGTTGAATTTATAGAAGATTTTCACTAAATGATGCAGAATCAGTCGAATCTAGTTAAAAGTACGTCTTTGTGATTTTGATGAGCTAAAACAGCCACATCTGTCAGGTTTCTGCTCCCCAGTAACTATTTTCAGCCACAGGATTTGTTTTTGCTGCTGGTGCTGAGCCAAAGACCTGCGCTGCTGATGGAGGGAGTGGGCTGCACTGCGGAAAGAAAAGCTTTGTTAGAACGTAGCTGTGACCCAGTTTGAGTTCAGCTACTTTTCTGAAAACTTCCTCAGTAAAAGCAGGAAGCCTTTTGAGGTCAGGCTGGTACAGATTTTCTCCAGGACGTTTCAGCAGAGCAGATAGTGCATCCTTTTAATTTTCACTCCTGAATCCTTTTGATGCTTTTTTGTGAGTAAAGATGCTGACTTGAGTCGGGTTGTGTTGGCGGGACATCGGACCCCTGCCTCACCGGGTGGACACTTGCAGATGTGAAGGTCGTATTACCTTGAAAATAAATCTGACCACCAACAAGAAATGTTTCTGTGTTTTTATTTTTTCACACAGCTGTAGAACTGAATCCCTTTCTGGTTTTTAGTTGTAAACACCCCCCATTTTAAAATAAATATGATTACTTAAGTTTTTTCACTTTAAATACCCAAGGAATGACTAAAGCCAACCCTGGTTATCTTCTGAGAGACTTAATTTACGGTTCTAAATAAATAAACCTTGTTAAAGCGCTATAATATTAGAATTTGTGAAAATAACTTCCTAAAACACTCAAATTGACACAGAGGTCATAATTGGTGATGGAAGACAAACATCAGTGTTTTGATTTATATTTGGTAGACTTGGTTGGAATAATGAAAATGTTAAGTGACAACATAGGCTGACTTTTTTTTTTACCACTACAGTTAAAATCATAAAACAATGTATCTTTTGCCTTTTTTTTTTAATAAAAATGTCGGCCATAAATTTGTAAAAATGGCAAAGTCTAAATTTGAGCTAATCTCTTTCAAGCATTCCTCATCTAAAAGCTGTGTAATGTTGGAGCGAGGTTGTTTTTTCTTTATTTTACATTTGCCTTTTTGTAAACAAAAAAAAACATGGAAAATATTAGTTCTGCGCTAAAATAACCGAAAGTCTGCATCTAATCGTAACTTGGCAAAAATGTTCAGCTGACAGTCAGCAGCAGAGCCCTAAAACCGCTCAGGTGGATAATTTATTGACACTCCCTGCTGCTGTATGTTTTTTTTTTTCCTCTCGGTCGTCTCTCCAATCGAGACTACGCATGCGCGCACGTTCCCTTCCGAACAAGGCTTCACCAATCCCGGCTTTGGCTCCATCCCCGGCTCGGCGTCCCACAGGCCAGCGCTAATAAGTCGCTTAGCTGTCCGGTAATGGGGAGGTGTTAGCGGGGAAGCTATTGAGGAGGAAGCTCCACCACCACTGCTCCAAGCAGAGACAGACTCATCCTACAGTTGCTGTTGTTGAAAAGCCCAGAAAAAGCGCACAGTGATGGAGAGAAAGGTATGGACGCCTAATGCTGCCTTTACATGTTTGTTAGATTTGCCTCGCCATGTCTCCCATATCCGCATCCACCATGAAAATGATTCTTTTTATGGATTTTGCTGCCAGCTTAGTGCGCGCTAGTTAGTTTTTTTATTATCTCGCCTAGCTCTAATTTATTGTACTCCCAGAATTTAAAAAATTTCCAGCAGGATTTATTCTAAAGCGTATTATGAGGATGATTGTGAGCAGGGATGTGGATAATTTTTGGGGGGACCGTAGGCTCCTGTAGCCCCCTCTGAGCCCGTCTGCACCATCCATCACACCACACCGTGTATAGTTGCAGCACCTCACCTTCCGCCTCCTACGTCTTCCCGTTTTTTGCAGCCGACTCAGACACCCGCGCGGCTTGTTAACCTTGACTGGTGTGGGAAACAGACACTTGAGGAATAATGGACGGGATGCACCTCCAAGTGGGGGCCGGGGGGGGGGGGGGGGGGCATCTTTTCTCTTATTTGCACATGATTTTAAATGTCTTTCTTTCTGCTCTTTTGATTCTGAGAGAAGTGAAATTATTTTAAAAAGAACACACACACACACACACACACACTTGCAGAAAAAGTTTTTTTTTTCACAGCTAATATGCTGGCAGCATGTCTAGCTCCCAACAGCAGGAGAGAGGGATGTGGGGTGTACAGCTGAAAGTAGATTTGCTGAGTCAAAGGAAAAATTCATTTTCATGCTAAAGCTGCAGTCAGCAGATATAGCAGAACACCCCACCACACACACACACACACACACACACACACACACACACACACACACACACACACACACACGTCACTGGCAGATATTTTTTAAATTGTCAAATCAAGTTTTTACTTTTTAAATGAGAGCTAATTTTGGGGTATCTGTAAAGCTAATCATCATCTTACAGTAGGCGTGTCCAAAGTGCGGCCTGGGTGCCATTTACGGGCCACGGAATGTTCCGTTTCTATTATGATAAATGACCACTTGTATAGCGCCTCTCGGAGTAAGGACTCCAAAGCGCTTTACACTACAGTGTATCATTCATCTATTCACACACACATTCACACACTGATGGTGATGAGCTACGATGTAGCCACAGCTGCCCTGGGGCGCACTGACAGAGGTGAGGCTGCCGAGCACAGGCGCCACAGGTCCCTCGGACCACCACCAGCAGGCAAGTTGGGTTGTGTCTTGCCCAAGGACACAACAGCAGAATTCTCTGTCCGGAGCCGGGATTGAACCTGCAACCTTCCGATTACTGGACAACCCGCTCAACCTGTTGAACCTGTTGATAAGCTGTCCCCGCTTATTAAAAAGTATTTCTGGCGCAGGCAGTTGATTTTAGATAAATACATTTTACCATGTTCTATGTGATGCCTATTTTTGAACTGTGCAAAGAAAAAAAATATTGTTATTAAAAAAATCTGTTTTGGGGGGGCATGAGGACTTTTACCTTGATGATTTTGGCCCTTGTCAACTAATGTGTAAGCTAAATATGATGCTACACCATCAATTTATGAGCTTAGCTTTGCAAATCTGGGTCAGTTAAAGAACAACGTTATTACCAAATATACATTTATTTACATTAACTCAGTCCCATTCCGTCTTTGGTTCTTATAAACAAAATAAGAATCCGCACACTTCAATCTGCGATGTAGCAGTTTATTGGTCAAGCTTTCGGTCAGAGACCTTCATCAGGAACTGATGAATTGATAATTCCTGATGAAGGTCTCTGACCGAAAGCTTGACCAATAAACTCCTACATCGCAGATTGAAGTGTGCGGATTCTTATTTTATTTATTCCACTTTTTGATCCAGCACCATTCCCAGACGAGCGGTGACTCCTTCTCTGGTTCTTATATATACACATAGTAGAAGCTTTGCTTTTACTTTTCTAGCTGAATTTCAGCTCCAGCCTGTCGCTCTAGTTTGGAGCTGAAACCGTTCATCTAGAAAGGTAGAAGCAAAGCTTTACTGCTCTATAAATGTAAGAACCACAAATGTTACTGAAAAGCTACACAGAATAAACTTTACTAAGAACTCACTCCCATGTTTTTGGCTATATTTAGAGCTAACATGACGCTACAGCCAACCATTTATTAGCCCAAGTACAGCTAAGCTTTTCTCATAGATACAAAGATAAAGAAATACTATTAAAACATATCTAAGTATTTTACACACATTTGTTTTAACAGTAGTACTAACCCAGCCCGTCTTTAAGATAGTTTAACAGTCAACACTCCCAACCCATCCATTTCCATCCGCTTATCTGTGGTCGGGTCGTGGGGGCAGCAGCCTAAGCCGAGAGGCCCAGACTTCCCTCTCCCAGCCAACTGGGCCTGCTCTTCCGGGGGAATCCCAAGGCGTACCCTGGCCAGCTGAGAAAAATAGTTCCTCCAGTGTGTCCTGGGTCTTCCCTTGGGTCTCCGCCTGGTTGGATGTGCCCAGAAAACCTGACCAGGGAGGTGTCCAGTAGGCATCCATACCAGATGCCAGGGCCACCTCGACTGGCTCCTCTCAATGTTGAGGAGCAGTAGATCACTCCGAGTCCCACCTGGATGACCAAGCTTATCACCCTATCTCTAAGGGAGAGCCCAGCCACTCTGCAGGGAAAACTCCTTTTGGCCTCTTGTACCCGCAATCTCGTTCATTTGGTTACGACCCAAAGCTCGTGACCATAGGTGAGGGGAGGAACGTAGATCGACTGGTAAATTGAAAGCTTCGACTGGGCGATACGGCCCAAAAATAAAATCTCCCGATTTTTTTCTTTTTTTATTCCATTTACAATTTTTTTCCGATTCTCTCTCCCCCTCAATTATTAAAAATAGCAATACACACAAATGGAAGGCACCTTAAAGCCAATTTTGTTTTTTATTTAATCACAAGCAAGACAAATGTGACCCTCATTTCTGAGATGAATAATGAATAAATGAACACCCTCTTGGAATAAAAAGGCCACGCTCCACGTCCGTCGCAGCAAACCCAAACCAGTTCCAAACAACGGATGATTTAATTCCCTTCTTAGGAACAAGCGTCCCACTCTCACGGAGTTGCTTCTGTTGCTGTTTTGTGTGCGTGCTGTGATTCTGTTGTCGCGGTTATGAGAAACTAACGCTATGGAAGCTCCGGGGGGCCAAAAAGGCGCTATTACATTAAAATTCGATTTACTTATTTTTAAACCACCCGCAACAAAAAATTTGAATTAATTCATTAAATCGATTTATCACCCAGGCCTACTTTCAAGCTCAGCTTTCTCTTCACCACAACAGCTTGAACAATGCCCACAGTACTGTAGATGCAACACCAATCTGCCTATCGCTCCATCCTTCCCTCACTGTGAACAATCCCGAGATACTTACACTCCTCCGCTTGAGGCAGGATCTCGTCCCTGACCTGGAGAGAGCATTCTACTCTTTTTCTATTTAGACCATAGTCTTGGATTTAAGGGAGCTATTTCTCATCCCAGCTGCTTCACGCTCGGCTGCAAACTGCTCCAGCGAAAGATGGAGGTCGCAGTCCGATAAAGCCAACAGGACCACATTGTCACCTCAACACCTTGAACACTTAGAATTCCCGTAAAAGTTAGAAACAGAATCGGTGACTAAGGGCAGCTTGGTGGAGTCCAACTCTCACCTTAGACTAGCCAGACTTATTGCTGGCAATATGGACCAAGCTCTGACACTGGTCATACAGCGACCTAACAGCCCGTGTAAGAGGGCCTGGTACCTCATACTTCCATATTTCCCCCCCACATGGCCCCCAGAGGGACTGGGTCGAACACCTTTTCCAAATCCACCAAACACATGTAGATTGGTTGGGCGAACTCCCACGCACCCTCCATGACCCCCCAAGGGTATAGAGCCGTTCCAGCGTTCCACGGCCAGAGACGAAAACCACATTGCTCCTCCTGAATCTGAGGTTTCACAATCCAATGGACCCTCCTCTCCAGAGCTCCAGACAACTTTATATTATTTCATTTATATTTCTAAAAT